TTACTTACAAATTGAATGCTGTGAAAAATCACTGAAGATGAGCCACTAGCAAACACATCTAAAATTTTCATCTAAATATTTTGAATTAATGAGAATTTTTTTAAAAAAAAACCCTTATTTTTAGGCTATTTTTGATTAAAATTTGATACGGTTTTTGCCAATTTTGATCAATGTTTCATTTATCTGACAAATTAGTTGCTGGCAAAAATCATTGCTCATGTTACGCACTAGCCAACACACATAAAATTTTCCATACAAGTGTTTTGTATTAAGTCATGTCAACAAATGACCACTATGATGACCATTTTTTGATCGGATCGAATTCATTAGCATTAAATTGTAAGAATCTTGCAAGTGCAATGCATCGACCGCAATAGATTAGCAAGCTAGAAGAGTAGTTAGCAAAAGTAGTTCTTGAGAAAAGAATTAATGGTTTTCTTATGATTTAAAAATTAGTAAAATAGAAGCAATTGTCTCGATGAAATATACCTTAAAATCATTTATTGCATGTTTCGTTGACTAATCTTCTCTGTACGGAGCGTAAACGACAAATTCCCACATTTCATGGTTTATGCAATTATTTGCATAAGTTGGACAGAAATAAGTCAATATGAACAAGGGACACAAAGCCTAGCTGGGATAAATTTACTAGATTAGAACATGAGGACACTTCTTCGGAACCTTGATCCATCTCATTTCATATATTGAACCTTGCTCCATCTTTCTGGTTATATTTTGCAATAGACACAGCAAACATTATAGTTTTATCATTATCGTGAAACACTCTCATCGGGTATTCCATTCCTCTTGTCATAGAAAGCAACTTCACATTTACACCAAATACGCCTTTATTTCTGCAAACTATCCTATTTTTATCTTCTCTGAGGGATACAGAGAGTTCGCTGCAAAATTACAGAGCTGGGAAGAATGTTATTATTATACGTCGTTCCATGGATAAACGATTACGATAAGACTGATTGCGGAGGAAAAACTTGAAAGTTTCACAATATGAATTTTAATAAAGAGCTCTTTGCATAATGAATAAAAGTAGAGAGAGATCTAGTTAAAAGAACAATTTGATTGAAGGTTACACAAAAGACTATAAGTAATTTCTGGTGATTCCACTACTAAAATTAGCTTGAACAATCTGAAAAGTGACAGAAGATTACAATCGTCCTTATTTAGAATGAATGCAGAAACCGCTGTTCCAAGGATCTTTTGTGATAAAACTCTTCCCCCACTTTTTGCGCTCGAATAATTGTATTTATTCTTTAAATCATTTTAAATAAACAGACGCTAAGTCTACATCTGTTAAAGTCATTGGAAGTGGCAGAGATTTGAATCATCAGAATATTCTGCTCCTCTGTAATCATCTGAATCAATAATAACTTTAAGATTTATTTAATACCCTTTACGCCAAATGATGATCCATTTAAAATGGTAATCTCAATTATATTACTTATCTGGAGATTTCTCTACCGCACCGAAACTTAGTTTTTTGTACGCCATGCCAAAAATACGCACACCATCATACCACTTACTGACTTGCAGTTCCGTACTTCGATTCTTCACCGGACACGTTGGCTTTTTTCAATAATCAATTTATCATTCCGATGAATCAAGGCGGTAAATTGATTGTTGAATGGCTACAACATCATTGGAATTTATCTGTAAGCGTGGAAATAAGTCTTTACCCTAAGATATTGTGATCGAGTTTTAACTGTTCCAGTTGTATTCTTTAGTCTCAAGACGTAAAGATACTGAAAAAAAGACATCGATAGCATTTCTTTTGAACATATTTTGTAGGAAAAGGTCACAAACGGCCGGAAAGATTTCATTGTGCCGAACAACTTGAGGGCACTTCAGATTTAAATATGGTTCCAATGCTTAGTAAAACAATATAATGGATGTGAACGAGGATCTATGTTTACTTGCCTCTCACAGATAGATCTACAAACGTCTGCACTTTTTGTTTTTCAAAATCAAGAACTTGAGATTGATTTCAGCAATAAGGTAAGTTTTGAATGATTCTAAGGAAAAGAAGTGGGATTTCAAAACTAAGGACGCCGAAGAAATCTTGCACAAGAATTGAATTGAGTTCCGTAAATTCGATTCCCTTACAGGTGAGAACATCCCAAAACTAGTGGTTCAAGATTTGAAGATATAAAAATTTTCAACAAAGATTAAATTCCTTAAATTCACATCATTTCTATCCTCCTGATCACACTTTTCCTCCCAAAGGAAAACCAAATACAGATTTTTCCCGACAAACTGGAAAACTTAAAACATTTATCTAATGGGATTAAAACGCCTACTACTACTGCTCGTGTGAGTGCCATGATTTGTGAGCAAACTCACCACATACTAGTAATAAAACAGGACCAAAGATAAACGAAAGAAGATATATTCGAACAATCCAACTCATACTGAGTTCAAGCGCAAGCATCCGATGAATCAAAAAAAAATTACACATTTGATTTTTTCCTCTTCGGCCTGAAAGAAATCGGTGGTAAGTACGTGGATACTAAACCACTAGGAAAATATTGCTATTCCGATTAATTAATACAGTTAGTTCATCAAATTTAGGACCTGTGAGATTGCAATTCTGATGTTAAGTAAGGAAATGTGGTGAGCTACTTGACCAATTGCAATTTCCAATGATATAAAATTTTTTAATAAAGAATGATTTAAACCTCGAGGAAAGTTGAATTTTTCAGAAATTTGGAGTTTTAAAAGAAAATACAAAATCTCATCTGCAATTCCTAATAGTAAAATGATTACATATTTCCAAAAGTTTTTTAATCCCCAAGAAAAATTTATACTTGTCCACAAATAACAATTCATATGTCGCCACAAAACTCCAGTTTTATTGAAAAGATTCAAATTTCACACCTCTCTTTCTTATTTACAGCTTGCCTTGAAATATCGCATTTTAACGTGATTTAGCATAAATATACACTGTAGAACAGGCAGAAACATGAGAAGTCTCAAATCTCTCGATTGAAATAGTGCGTAATAGGAGACCACGAACTGATCATTTGATATATTTCTCCATAAACTTCTTGTGAAATTCAGAGCGAATGGCATCATTGATAAAAACCTGCTCCTTTTTGCGTTCTTCGATACCCTTAGCACAGTTCTTGAAAACTACATCATCGTCCCACCGTCGTTTCACCTTAACTACTTTGTACAAAAAAAAAAAAGATGAAGCAGAAGCCATGTAAATATCTCCTAAGCACTGCACCGAAACTGACCGGAATTACATTACGTCCAAATACCTTCGTTTTCAGCATATAGTCAGAGGAAAGCTAAATTAAATGGTCGAATTGCTCTAGTAATTCTTGTGATGCAATATAGTACTAGTCACAGTAGACATAACTTTTTTTCTTTCAATAATGCATACTGCTACACTATGATCTACGCGTTTCCTAAGATCCGTTATGGATCAGTGGCATTCTTATTTCTGCCGAAATTATAACTTGTAGTCCATCATGTCTCATTGCTGACAAGCATACCTTGAAATCTGATGTCTCAGAATTGAGCAGTGGATTCCCGTGTAGAATGTTTTCGGTTCTGATTCGTTCCTAGAAAACACAAATTACTCAATTAAAAGTATTCAAGAATTGTGTTCATAAACAACAAACCCAAACCTCTTCCGTGATAGCTCACCTCATGACGCAAATCGTGTCTATTTTTTATTACTATAATGTCATCCATCATTAAAATTTACTCATTACTTGTATATGAAGAGGATTAAATGAATTATCAATGATGAGATAAAATTTTAACCTAAAGCACTTGGCTTTTTACCTGTTCTTCAGCTAATGCCGCATCACGCTGAGCTTTCTCCAGTGCTCGCTCCTTCTTGATTCTAGCCAGTTCAGCCATCAATTCCGCGGCGTCATCCTCATCTTCATCTGAATTCTATAATCAACACACATGATGATATTAGGAACTATTTAGAAAAACCAAAATCCTTTTTAATAAATTAAAGTGAGCCATTTAGATTGTTAAGTAATAAACTAACAGCTAAGATTATGCAAAAATAATAAGCTTACATCATTGACATCATCATCATAAGGGTCGTCCTCATCTTGAACATTTGGTGCTGAGCTCACTTCCAACCTTGGTTTCTTTTGCACATTCCAACCACTTTCTCGACTTCTTCGTTCACGCCCCATATTTTTCTCTTTCTCTTCCAATTCTCGACGGAAATCCTGCAAAAGTAATAGTGATTCCAACACTTAATCATGCACTAACTAATTATTTTAACAGCCTAAACTATGATGCATGATAAACAGAATACATAAAAGGCTCTTTACAAAAGTTCTGATAAACTTGAGATCTAAATAACAGTATCCCTCCAAATTTCCAAATTCTAACTAAAATTTCCATTGAAATGGATCTAATTTGTGTGCAACGCAATTTATTTTTTTTCTCTTTTCCTCTATTCTAGATAGCAGTATGCTAATATAAAACGAACATCTCGATAAGGACGCAAGATTCTTACCCTCGATTTGATATCCTCTGCGTGGCCTTGTCCTTTTTGACGATATTTAAGTTTTGTGTGTGATGGCATATCCTTGCTTGAATACTGCTGTGACAGCTTCGAAAGATCACCCTCATTTCTACCAGATCCACCACGTGCTGGTTCAAAAGTTGGTCGATGTGCAGTTGTCATTATGATAACCTAATACCGAATAGCTGCATATTATAACGATAGAATGCTATATTATCAAACAGTGTAATTATGGTAGCATACGATAATCACGCATGATTATAGAAACCACGTACAAGTAAAGCTCACGTCTAGAATACTTCTTGATAACAAAGCAATTTTTGATAAAAGATAATAGGTGCATAATTAAAGTTAAACTTAGTTACCTTATCTACCTACAGCAACACCACTTATCCATCCACTAACCTCATTTTCCAAAATCTCACCTCAACCTTAAACAATGCGCCCATTTTTCACGGCTGGCCGTCATATGGACGAAGACGACATGGCTCATCTCACAGAGATGCAAACGGTCGGGTTTGGTAGTATTCCCGAGTTATTATACCGGGATTTCTTTGGTGTCGCATCTTTGCATGATTTCATTGGGCAATATCTTCGGAAATTACTTAAATTTCCAATAAACTTAAGTTGCGGTTCTATGGTAACTTGAAAACTGTTCACATATTGACCTCAATTGCATTCCAGATATTATATACACCTTTCACTCACTTATTGTTGATCTATTGCATCTTTCAGATCCTTTCATAAATCAGCAAACATAACAGCTCGTGTTAATGAACACCTGATATGGTACTCTGATTGGATAGGACAAGATCAGGAGTATCGAAATTAGACGAAAAATAGAGATAAAGTCGAAGAAGAGAAAGATCAAATGTTATTTTCAACCTACTGTATCCAATGAGTGTTATTTATTTTATGCATCAATGGATAAATGAACAACTGCTAATACCCAGAAGGTCTGATAGTATGGCGTAACCAACGGCGATCATCTATGATGGTTCGAGAGTAAACAATGGTCAGTCACCTCTTTGCTCAAAATATGTAAGTAGTATTAACTTTACACGTTCGTCTGATTAATTATTAAGGACATATGATTCTGTGCTATATTTTTCATTTGTAAGTTTGTCAAAAATTGCATGAACTGCTTACCATCAGCTGGATCTACTGATAACAATGATATGCAAGTCCCATATTTACGCCCACTTTTTTTATCAAAAAATAAGCACGAAGCTTTATCCTCCTTTTTTATTCCACTTTTATAATAAGTAACATTGGTCACATGATGTTCGTGACTCACTTATTAGCTGATTATTATTGAATCCTCTGTGGTAAACCATTGTTACTGATGTGAGAATTATACTCCACCTTATTACTGTACGTTTTACCTTAACTGG